CCACCCATTGGTGCTCAGCAGTGTCATCAGTCAGTGCCCAGCAGTGCTGCCAGTCAGTGCCAACCCATCAATGCATCTATCAGTGCCCAACATCTGTTGCATATCAGTGCAGTATCATCAGTGCCGCATATCAGTGTGCCCATCAGTGCTTCCTATCAGTGCAGCCAGTGCATCTCATCAACGCACATTAGTGAAGGATAAAAATTACCTCTTTGCAAAATTTTATAATAGAAACAAAGAAAACTTTTTTCACAATTTTGCTTTTTTTTGTTTAGAGCTAAAAAAAATAACCCCCCCAGCGGCGAGTAAATACGACCAAAAGAAAGTTCTATTTGTGTGAAAAAAATGCTAAAAAATTTTCATATGGGTATAATATTGCATGACCGCACAATTGTCATTCAAAGTGCAACAGTGCTCTGAAAGCTGAAAATTGGCCTGGTCAGGAAGGGGGAATATGTGCCCGGTAGGCGAGGGGTTAAAGTGTCTTACTTCTATGCTGTTAGCAGCGAGAATCACTATTGCTGAATATTAGAAGAGATCAATTATTCCGCTTCAATATGTTCACAACAAATGAGATTGGATCCTGATTAACGACAGACTCACCTGTGTTTTACATCATAATACCAACATGTGTGATAAAACGTGGGATCCGTGGAGTCCATACATCTCCGTGCCCTAGTACTTCCTGATTTTGCCCTCTCCTCCTACTCTCCTCCTTCTCCTCTCCTCTCCTCCTCTCCTCCTCCTCTCCTCCTCCTCCTCCTCCCTTCCCTCTGCTCATCCCCTCCTCTCTTCTCCTCCTCCTCCCCCTCTCTCCTCTCCTCCTCTCTCCTCTCCTCTCTCCTCTCTCTCCCTCCTCCCCTCCCCCTCCACCTCCTCCTCCCCTTCCCTCTCCTCTCCTCTCCCTCCTCCCTCCCCTCTCTCTCCTCCTCCATCCCTCTCCTCTCTCCTCCCTCCTCTCTCCTCCTCCCTCCTCCTCTATCCCCCCTCTCCTCCTCTCTCCTCTCTCCTCCTCTCCCCTCCTCTCTCTCTCTCATTACTGTTACCCTCTTTTTTTCCTTTCTGCTGTTCTTTTATTTTCCCATGCTGGTGCTAGTGTAGTTCCATGTTGTATGTGTTGTGCACTATGTGTGGTGTGTATGATGAATGCTCTGTGTGATCCATATGTCTCCTATTATTGCTTCCCCTGTACAAGGTGGACTTAATGCTGGGAATGTTCTATGTGACGTCTCCAGTCATTATTGCACACATTTCCTGCTTCCCTGCGGGATGTCTGTTGTTTATTCATCCGCCTGTTTGTTGGGGATATTTCATACCTATTTTATATAACATGACACTTGTCTATTACATTTTCTGTAACTTGAAACATTTCAATAAAAAATATTGGAAAATAAATAGTTGGTTTGCATAAGAGCTAGATTTATTTTTTTTCTCAGTTTTTTTTAGTTATTTTTGATCTTTCATGGAAACCACAGGAATGGATATTTTAATGTTTCTTGGGGCTGCAGTTCCTCTGAATCCACAAGGTGGTGATCTCACTTCTATCCAGACAGGAAGTTATTGTAGAACACAGACAGGAAGTGATGTCAGGCAGAGACAGACAGGAAGTGATGTCAGGCACAGACAGGAAGTGATGTCAGGTACAGACAGGAAGTCATCTGGAATAAAGACAGGAAGTTCCATACCATGAAGTGGAAGCAGTGAGGAGACGTTGGTGGACCCAGTGGCAGCAGAGGTCACGGTAATAAGATGTTATTTCCCTCTTTTACACCCAGTCTTCCCCCCTCTTCCGTCATGTCTGTCCTCTTCCTCCATAGTCATGTCCCATCCTCTTCCTCCATAGTCACTGTGACGTCTTTTAGTCTCCAGTCAGTCCTGATACACACTGTATAGCAGATGATGGGATACCACAGTGATTGAACCCCTTCAGGGGCAGAACATTCCCCCACTTCCGGGGCCGGAACATTCTCCTCATTGTGGAGATAAATTCTAGTAATATGGTCCTCTAAACAAACAGCACTGACAATAAATAGACAAGACAAGGACCATCCTGACCATACATGGCCTACAAAGGGCAATGATGACACTACACAGGCAGCCAATGGGCAATCATTATTATTATACAGGATTTATATGGCACCAACAGTGTGCGCAGCGCTGTACAAAATGAAGGAAGACATTACAGTTACAATACAATTTGGTACCAGAGGAAGCAGAGGGCCCTGATCCTGAGAGCTTACAATCTAGGGGAAGGGTTGAGTGATACAAAAGGTAATAGCTGTGGGGGGGAGGAGCTGATGGAGGAAATAAATGGCAGTTTACTAGATAGAAGCAGGATAGGTTTCTTTAACCCCTCGTCTTCCAGGCACTTCTACCTCCTTCCTGCCCAGGACAAATTTCAGCTTTCAGTGCTGTTGCATTTGAATGACAATTGTGCAGTCATGCAACGGTGTACTCATATGACATTTTTATATCATTTTTTTGAGACAGATAGAGCTTTATTTTGGTGGTATTTAATCACCTCGGGGTTTTTTATTTTCTGCTAAACAAACCAAAAACAACTGAAAATTTTGAAAAAAAAGTTTTTTCATAGTTTGTGTTTTAAAATTTTGTAAATAAGTGATTTTTTCTCCTTTACTGATGTGCGTTAATGAGGCTGCAGTGATGGGCACTGAAAGGCAGCACTCATATATGGCACTGATAGGTGGCACTGACTGGCAATGTTAGGGGGCACTGATAGGCGGCACTGAGAGGCATTGATAGGTGGCACTGACAAGCAGCTCAGCTGGGCACTCATATGTGGCATTGATCTGCACTGGTAGGCACTGATATGTGGCATTGATGAGGCACTGATAATCAGTGCACATGTCCCCTCCAAGGAATGTCAATTACCGGCTCTCCTCTGTCAGCGTGACAGCTCAAGAGGAGAGAAATGCCGATAACCGGCATTTCCCTATTTACATGCGATCAGCTGTGATTGGACACAGCTGATCACATGACTGGGCCAACATCTTCGGCTCTTTCCATTGATCGGTGATCCGCTGTGTCCGAGGGACACATATGACCTTCTACCAGAACAAGACAACCACCTTGCGCCCGTCATTGCTTATATTTATGGCGGGCGGGAGGTGGTTAAAGAGGTTTTCAGGGATCGTCTAAAGGTGGATAGATTGGGAGACAGCCAGACAGATTGGGGTAGGGAGTTGCATAGGATTGGAGAAGCTCAGGAGAAGTCCTGGAGGTGAGCATGGGAGGAGGTGACACAGGAACTAGAGAGTAGAAGGTCTTGGGAGGATTGAAGAAAGCGGTTTGGTTGATATTTTGAGGCCAGGTTGGTGATGTAGCTGGGGGCAGAGTTGTGGATGGATTTGTAAGTTGTTAGTATTTTGGGTATAATTCGTTGGGTGAGTGGAAGCCAGTGGAGGGATTGGCAGAGAGGGGTAGCAGACAGTGAACGGCTGGTACACTATACAGACAGCAGATGGGCAATCATTGCAATATGCAGCTAACACAATGATGGAGTGCCGGGGTCAGGAGTATGGAGCATAGAGCCCCTTACATTGCTGCTCAGGAGGAAGAAAACATTCCCAGCCGGCCATGAAGAATATGTTCCATCATTGGTGTCAGAGGGAGGGAATTCTGAGGGAAGTAGAGGAGCTGAGGGGTCTCTCAGGGGCTTCTGAGCATGGGAGACTTTGGGGCCCCTGAAGGAGTAGTGGAGTTCTAGGGCTTTTAGGGGGTAGAGTAGCTGAAGGAATCTGGGTCTTTGATAGGATTGTTGGTGGGGGAGCAGAGCTCTGAGGAAAGAAAAGTTTGTCAGGCTCAGGGGGACACTGAGGTAGGGAGGGGGCTCTTGGTCTCTGATTGTCCTCTTACCTGCACTTACTTTCCCAGACCTCCTTACAGAACTCCTACCAGGAAAGGAAAGAAACCTTCACCTTCTTATCATCTCACCGGTCAAATAATGTATTCCAAGATACCAATTGGAATGAAGAAGGACAGTCCTTCACCCAAGGATCAGTGCCAGAACATTCAGGTGACACTCCAATACCTCACACCATGACACAGGCCCTGGCAGTGCCCGGTGCTGGAATTCAGAGCCCCAGGAACCCACCACCACTCTGTACAATGTCCTGGATATTACAGTATACTTGGTAACCAAACCCTCCCCCCTGCTGTCCTCCTCCTACCCACACTAGGCTGTCATTGGAGAGAAGAGACAAAATTATCCTGATAAGCCAGGAAAAGTCATCAAGTTCCCCTTCCTGGACCTCATGATGAGCCGACATTGACCTCACAGCACTGCCTCAGAGCAAACAAGTCATAGGAAGGATCATATTTATCATTCCTTGTCTGCAGATCTAATACTCATCAAAACCAGTTCAGAGACCAAACAAACCCAACAGAGAAAAGGGGATTTCTGATCTGGCAGGTCAAGAGGGTCCCGGGACCTCTAAATGTAAAAAAATTAAACAGTCCCAACTAAATGTCTTTCCATGATTGTAGTAGTTGCTAAATGTCCAGCAACCCTCCTATTCCCCCCTCACATCCACATCCTATTATTGTGTCACCAATACCATCCAAATCATTCTTACTTTCATTTCCCAAAGTTATCCGTCTACAAGGAGACCTGTATAGATCACATGATGGCACCAATGAGGATGGAGGAGGACCGGAGTCACATGACTGAGAAGATACTAAACCTCACCCTGGAGATCATCTACCTGCTGACTGGAGAGGAGAGTGAGGAGGATTCTGGGAGGTCACATGACATCACTCTCATCTCTATTAATAAAACACAGACCTGACCGGAGAGGTGAGGAGGATTCTGGGAGGTCACATGACATCACTCTCATCTCTATTAATAAAACACAGACCTGACCGGAGAGGTGAGGAGGATTCTGGGAGGTCACATGACATCACTCTCATCTCTATTATATAAAAACACAGACCTGACCGGAGAGGTGAGGAGGATTCTGGGAGTCTAACATGATATTCCTATTGGTTCCTCAATACAGAGATTTCCTCCTCTGAAGTCAGGTGATCATATGACCATCACAGTGCCTCCATGTGACTCCCTAAACCCTGAGAGGAGACACAACATGCAGAAGATTCTAGAAGTCACCAAGAAGATGATGGAGCTGCTGACAGGAGAGGTGAGTGGTGCCGGGAATTCTGGGACATTCTCCAGTAACAGACAAGGGATGTGTCTGGATGGTGACTGTATCATTGTGTGTGTCAGGTTCCTATAAGGTGTCAGGGTGTCACTGTCTATTTCTCCATGGAGGAGTGGGAGTATTTAGAAGGACACAAGGATCTCTACAAGGACGTCATGATGGACAATCAGCCGCCCCTCACATCACCGGGTAAGAGGAGACTTTATTGTAAAGGAGAGAGCAGTACGGAGGATCCACCTAGATCCCCCATCATCTGATAAACACATAGAAACAATGGATTCAGTCAGTGTGTGTGTTTCCTACAGATGGATCCAGTCATGGGAACCCACCAGAGAGATGTCCCCGTCCTCTGTATTCCCGGGATTCCACACAGGAAGGTCACACCATCCCTCACTGTTACAAGGATGGTAGGACTGACCATTTAGAACATGGACTTCTTGAGGTGAGGTGTTGATTTTTTTTAAGTATGATGTTACAATATTAAAGCTTATATTTTACTGCTGACCTTTTCTATTATATGCTTGGTTTAGGGTGAAGATCTGATAGATATAAAAGTTGAGGTGAAAGCAGAAGAAGAAGAGGCGTATGTGAGGGATGATCAGCAGTCTATGGAGGAGGATGGAATAACGGGGACATTTATAGAGGAGGACACTCCTACAGAGATCAGCACAGGTGGGTCATGAACACTAAATCCATTCCTCCACCCATACTGCTCACTGATTGGTCCAGAGTAGGGCGGGGACTGGGTGATATCAGCCTGTAATCCCCTGGTCACTTTCCTGAGCTGTGTTCCCCGTCCTGTATTCCTGGATTTCTCTCGGATAATCTTCCTTCTCTGTGCTGCAGACACAATTTATGTATCTAGACTGGATTTATGGAGGTTCTGGGGTTCAGCTGGCAGCAAAATGTTGATTTTTACTCTAAGCATTGCATAATGTAGGCACCCAGGACATGTGACTGGGGTCTCCTGCCTTGTGCCTGACTCCTCCAGGGGACCTTCTCTGTTATGTGCTGGCTGTGCCGGGTGGAGGGATATGTCTGTAGTGTCTCAGACCCAAGTCACTGAGTGCAGTCTCAGGAGATGGGAGGCAAGCAACCCTTTAAGGACCTTTAATTACTGAATAACATTATTATGAGCCCTTACCATTACACTATATAATTGACATTGTATATTACATTCTCCTGACCCCTGCACTATATACTCTATGTTGTACATTACATACTCCTGACCCCTGCACTATATACTCTATATTGTACATTACATACTCCTGACCCTGCACTATATACTCTATGTTGTACATTACATACTCCTGACCCCTGCACTATATACTCTATGTTGTACATTACATACTCCTGACCCCCCTGCACTATATACTACCGTATATACTCTATGTTGTACATTACATACTCCTGACCCCTGCACTATATACTCTATGTTGTACATTACATACTCCTGACCCCTGCACTATATACTCTATGTTGTACATTACATACTCCTGACCCCTGCACTATACACTCTATGTTGTACATTACATACTCCTGACCCCTGCACTATACACTCTATGTAGTACATTACATACTCCTGACCCCTGCACTATATACTCTATGTTGTACATTACATACTCCTGACCCCTGCACTATATACTCTATGTTGTACATTACATACTCCTGACTTCTGCTCTCCCCTCCCCCCACTGCTATATATACACATAATATGGATTCTCTTTTGTTCCCCCATTTCCTCCCAGCTGGACATTTTATATCGGATGATGTGATTGGAGCACAGACTTTTACATGGTGATAATAATGTGATAACATCCTCCAACTTTGGACCCTTAAACAGAAAGTGATAATGAGGGAGGAGTCAATACCCCAATGATGGTGGTCTTCAGGATCAGTCCAGTCTTCATCTTGGTTGTTCTCCCCCCATCCTCACTCTCTGACCTCTGGTGGGGCTCAGCCCCGCTGTTCTTCATGACTAAATCATGGACTAAATAAGGAAGTGCAGTACTTCTTGTGTTGGGAAGATGGTGATGAGTGATAGAGGGGGTGGGGACCCTCGTCCTATAATCCCCTCATCACTGTCCCTCCTATAAAAGACAGTTCTGGTTGTTTCCTCACTCTCTGACTAGGTCCATGAATAAAGAAATGACCTGGTAGGAGATCAGAGGAGCCATTTCCTAGTTCCCTTGAGGGTGGAATTGTAAGCTCCTCAGAGACCAAGCTGCCTGATGTGGGCGGAGTCCTGGTTGGGGAACCAATCAGCTCCTGTCTAGTAATCCTCTCTTTGTATTTTAGTCCATGGCCGGGAGATGAGGAAAACCTCCGAGGATTGTCTCACTTTGTCTCCAGACTGGAAAGTAGAAGATGAGGACATCACACAGTATAGTCCAGGAGAAAACCCGGCTCCCTCCAATGTCCATCCGGCACCACCCAGTGTAGATGGACCATCGGATTCCTCGTATCCTGAGGAACCTCAGACTGTGCGGGACTGGGCTGGCCTTCCAACAGGGAAGAGCTTCTCCTGTACTGAGTGCGGGAAGAGGTTCTCCTGTACTGAGTGCGGGAAGAGGTTCTCCTGTCCTGAGTGCGGGAAGGGTTTCCGGTGTAAATCAGAGCTTAATGTGCATAAAAGATCTCACACAGGAGAAAAGCCATATTCCTGTCCTGAGTGCAGGAAATGTTTTGCCAAAAAATCAGTACTTGTCAACCATCAGAAATCTCACATGGTAGAGAGAAACCATATTCATGTCCTGAGTGTGGGAAATGTTTTTCATTGAGGTCCTATCTTTCCATACATCAGAGATCTCACACTGGGAGAAGCCATATTCCTGTCCTGAGTGCGGGAAATGTTTTTCCGTGAAGTCCAATCTTTACACACATAAGAGGTCTCACACAGGGGTGAAGCCATATTCCTGTCCTGAGTGCGGGAAAATATTTTTCAGTGAGGTCCCATCTTTCCAGTCATCAGAGATGTCACACGGGGGGAGAAGCCATATTCCTGTCCTGAATGTGGGAAATATTTTTCACAGACGTCCTAATCTTTACAGACATCAGAGATCTCACACAGGGGGAAGAAGCTGTATTCCTGTCCTGAGTGAGGGAAATGTTCCTCACTGAAGTCCTGCCTTCCTGTACATCAGGGGTCCCACACAACCCTGGAGGTGTATTAGTGCCTTGAGTGCGGGAAATGTCTTCTAGATGAATGTTGCTGGACATCCCAGCTCTCATGTGGGGAAGAAGCACACCCTGATATACACCTCAGATATACTCCATGGCTGATCTTCATCATGGAAGAAACAGTTCATAAGGAGATCAGAGGTCCCCAAAGACATGGATGAAGTGTGGGACCGGGTGGCCATTGATGGCAGAAGAAGAAAAAAAAAATGGAGTCCTGCCCTGTGATTGGCTGAGTACATTTTGTGGTGGGAGATTTCACAAACACTCGGAGGTCTGTTTTTTAAAAAGTTAACCAAAAGAATGTGACATGAATTCACCGAGCAATGACAAATGTTGGGTATTCTTTATAAATGGGAGCAAAATAAGTAAGGCCTGTGTAATGTACAACCTTTTATATAGGCTGTAAAGTTTTGAAATTTATAGTATCAGAGTATGTAATGTACAACATAGAGTATATAGTGCAGGGGTCAGGAGTATGTAATGTACAACATAGAGTATATAGTGCAGGGGTCAGGAGTATGTAATGTACAACATAGAGTATATAGTGCAGGGGTCAGGAGTATGTAATGTACAACATAGAGTATATAGTGCAGGGGTCAGGAGTATGTAATGTACAACATAGAGTATATATACAGTGCAGGGGTCAGGAGTATGTAATGTACAACATGGAGTATATAGTGCAGGGGTCAGGAGTATGTAATGTACAACAGAGTATATAGTGCAGGGGTCAGGAGTATGTAATGTACAACATAGTAGTATATAGTGCAGGGTCAGGACTATGGAATGTACAACATAGCGTATATAGTGCAGGGGTCAGGAGTATGTAATGTACAACATAAAGTATATAGTGCAGGGGTCAGGAGTATGTAATGTACAACATAGAGTATATAGTGCAGGGGTCAGGAGTATGTAATGTACAACATACAGTATATAGTGCAGGGGTCAGGAGTATGTAATGTACAACATACAGTATATAGTGTAGGAGTCAGGAGTATGTCATGTACAACAGAGTATATAGTGCAGGGGTCAGGAGTATGTAATGTACAACATAGAGTATATAGTGCAGGGGTCAGGAGGATGTAATGTACAACATAGAGTATATAGCGCAGGGGTCAGAAGTATGTAATGTACAACATAGAGTATATAGTGCAGGGGTCAGAAGTATGTAATGTACAACATAGAGTATATAGTGCAGGAGTCAGGAGTATGTCATGTACAACAGAGTATATAGTGCAGGGGTCAGGAGTATGTAATGTACAACATAGAGTATATAGTGCAGGGGTCAGGAGTATGTAATGTACAACATGGAGTATATAGTGCAGGGGTCAGGAGTATGTAATGTACAACATAGAGTATATAGTGCAGGGGTCAGGAGTATGTAATGTACAACATGGAGTATATAGTGCAGGGGTCAGGAGTATGTAATGTACAACATAGAGTATATAGTGCAGGGGTCAGGAGTATGTAATGTACAACACAGAGTATATAGTGCAGGGGTCAGGAGTATGTAATGTACAACATAGAGTATATAGTGCAGGGGTCAGGAGTATGTAATGTACAACATAGAGTATATAGTGCAGGGGTCAGGAGTATGTAATGTACAACATAGAGTATATAGCGCAGGGGTCAGAAGTATGTAATGTACAATATAAATTATATAGTATAAGGGTGACAATGTTAGGAGTGTATTATCCTGCGCCTGTAATGAATGAATAGTGCAGACATACACCATACAATGTGATAAGTTATATAATAATCAAACTAAATAAAATCTGTAAATATGATTTGCGGTGTGTATGGAATTCACAATTAGACACCACTGTATACAGAGGCAGACAGCCAGCCCCCGGCCACATCCCACTAAGGCAGTCACGTGGTTTGATGATGTGTGTGGGCGAGAGCCGGGTGTCAGTGCTGAGACCGGAAGTGACATGGGAGCCGTGGCCCCGCTGTGTGTACTACATGCCGGTATTCTTCATGTAAATGTGAGTGGATTTGTTCCTTCATAAACACACCTTTTCATCCATAGTACACTATGGGGACCTCCTGTCTTCTAGGAGATCAGAGACCCAGTGTCCCTGGTGCTCCCTGTGTTTCCCAGTGTACCCTAATGCTTCCCAATGTCTCCCAGTATCCCCTGATGCCTCCCAGTGTATCTCAGTGTCCCCTGATGCCTCCCAGTGTATCCCAGTGTCCCCTGATGCCTCCCAGTGTATCTCAGTGTCCCCTGATGCCTCCCAGTGTATCCCAGTGTCCCCTGATGCCTCCCAGTGTATCTCAGTGTCCCCTGATGCCTCCCAGTGTATTTCAGTATCTCCTGATGCCTCCCAGTGTTTCCCAATGTCTCCCAGTATCCCCTGATGCTTCCCAGTGTATCCCAGTATCCCCTGATGCCTCCCAGTGTATCCCAGTATCCCCTGATGCCTCCCAGTGTATCCCAGTGTCCCCTGATGCTTCCCAGTGTATCTCAGTATCCCCTGATGCCTCCCAGTGTATCCCAGTGTCCCCTGATGCCTCCCAGTGTATCCCAGTGTCCCCTGATGCCTCTCAATGTATCCCAGTATCCCCTGATGCCTCTCAATGTATCCCAGTATCCCCTGATGCCTCCCAGTGTATCCCAGTATCCCCTAGTGTATCCCAGTATCCCTGGTGCTCCCCAGTGTTTCCCAATGTCTCCCCTGATGCCTCCCAGTGTCCCATGATGCCTCCCAGTGTATCCCAGTGTCCCCTGATGCTCCCAGTGTATACCAGCATCCCCTAGTCTATCCCAGTATCCCTGGTGCTCCACAGTGTTTCCCAATGTCTCCCAGTCTCCCCTAATGCCTCCCAGTGTATCCCAGTGTCCCCTGATGCCTCCCAGTATCCCCCGATGCCTCCCAGTGTATCCCAGTGTCCCCTGATGCCTCCCAGTGTATCCCATGATACCTCCCAGTGTATCCCAGTATCCCATGATGGATCCCAGTGTATCCCAGTGTCCCCTGATGGCTCCCAGTGTATCCCAGTATCCAATGATGCCTCCCAGTGTATCCCAGTATTCCCTGATGCCTCCCAGTGTATCCCAGTGTCCCCTGATGCCTCCCAGTGTATCCCATGATACCTCCCAGTGTATCCCAGTATCCCATGATGTCTCCCAGTGTATCCCAGTCTCCCCTGATGCCTCCCAGTGTATCCCAGTATTCCCTGATGCCTCCCAGTGTATCCCAGTGTCCCCTGATGCCTCCCAGTGTATCCCATGATACCTCCCAGTGTATCCCAGTATCCCATGATGTCTCCCAGTGTATCCCAGTCTCCCCTGATGTCTCCCAGTGTATCCCAGTTTCCCCCTGATGCCTCCCAGTGTATCCCAGTATCCAATGATGCCTCCCAGTGTATCCCAGTATCCCCTGATGCCTCCCAGTGTATCCCAGTGTCCCCTGATGCCTCCCAGTGTATCCCAGTATCCAATGATGCCTCCCAGTGTATCCCAGTGTCCCCTGATGCCTCCCAGTGTATCCCAGTATCCCCTGATGCCTCCCAGTGTATCCCAGTGTCCCCTGATGCCTCCCAGTGTATCCCAGTATCCCCTGATGCCTCCCAGTGTATCCCAGTGTCCCCGATGTGATGCCTCCCAGTGTATCTCAGTATCCCCTGATGCCTCCCAGTGTATTTCAGTATCTCCTGATGCCTCCCAGTGTTTCCCAATGTCTCCCAGTGTACCCTAATGCTTCCCAATGTATCCCAGTATCCCCTGATGCCTCCCAGTGTATCCCAGTATCCCCTAGTGTATCCCAGTATCCCTGGTGCTCCCCAGTGTTTCCCAATGTCTCCCCTGATGCCTCCCAGTGTATCCCAGTGTCCCCTGATGCCTCCCAGTGTATCCCAGTGTCCCCTGATGCCTCCCAGTGTATCCCAGTGTCCCCTGATGCCTCCCAGTGTATCCCAGCATCCCCTAGTCTATCCCAGTATCCCTGGTGCTCCACAGTGTTTTCCAATGTCTCCCAGTCTCCCCTAATGCCTCCCAGTGTATCCCAGTGTCCCCTGATACCTCCCAGTGTATCCCAGTATCCCATGATGTCTCCCAGTGTATCCCAGTATCCAATGATGCCTCCCAGTGTATCCCAGTGTCCCCTGATGCCTCCCAGTGTATCCCAGTATCCCCCCAATGTCCTCTGCTGTGTTTTCCAGCTGTAGTAAAGTCATATATTTATTTGTTTGGCAAGCTCTAGCTTTAGAGAAGGATCAGGTCCCATTCACACCTGAGTGTATCTCCAGAGTATCTCCAAGCTCCAAAACCCTCAGCATCCACAATTCCATGGTTTTCAGATGTGCCTGTTCATACCTGAGTGTATCTCCAGAGTATCTCCAAGCTCCAAAACCCTCAGCATCCACAATTCCATGGTTTTCAGATGTGCCTGTTCACACCTGAGTGTATCTCCAAACTCCAAAACCCTCAGCATCCACAATTCCATGGTTTTCAGATGTGCCTGTTCATACCTGAGTGTATCTCCAGAGTATCTCCAAGCTCCAAAACCCTCAGCATCCACAATTCCATGGTTTTCAGATGTGCCTGTTCACACCTGAGTGTAGCATTGTTTGAAAAAATACATGAGCTTCTTGTAGCTACAAGCTTCAGTTGTTTTTTTGGCCACAAAAGACTTCAATGGGAGCACCTGAAAAAAACATGGAAAGCACATATTGCTTTTTTTTTTTTTCCCTCAAATAACTTGCTTTCCACTGGCTAAAACAAGTTCAAAAACAGAGCCTGCAAAACGACCAAAGACTCCCAGCTGAAGAGTGAATGCAGGCTTGAGTGAGCGTCAGGGCCGGGTATACGGGGATCTCGGAGTTCATGTGTACATCGGACTCCTGGGGGTGTTGGAAGCCATAAGGTTGGACCTGGGGGTGATGATGATAATTGGTGTCATTTTGCTCTCAGGATTATGGCCGGCATTGTCTTCTGA